TTAATTTCATTTAAAAACTACATAATTTTATATACATAAATCTAGTAAAATTCATTTTAAGCAAAACTTCGTTGTATTAAAAAAAATTCGTTATAGAGAAAATTCGTTATAAAAAGAGTCATTTTATATATAAAATTTTCTGACTTTAATTCGTTAAACGTAGTACGAATTTTTAATTATTAAATTCGGTATAGTAAGGGTTTTTTTATATTTAAAAATCTGTCCGACAATGAAAATCCGTTGTATTGTAAAATTCGTTATATCAAAATTCGTTGTAGAAAGAGTTGACGTATTACTTTAAAGATCAATAAAATAATTATTGTAATTGATACTTTGCTAGATTTATAAGATAAAAAAAGTAATATTATTTCTATGCGAAAATGTACTTGACTATTTATATTTAACAGAAATTTTAGCAGGTCGTCATTATTTAACAATACAAGAACTTTGAATTATTCCACTTAAGGCGTAGGTCAAAAAGCGGAACACAAACTTACAAAACAAACGCTATCTTATTAAATATAACGTAATGTTTACATCTTTTATTTTATCATTATCCGTAAGATGTATTACAATAATTTTTCATCTCTCGAGACTTTTTATACTTCAACAAATTCTCTTTTTTACATTCCGATTAACGAAAATAACGAAAATGCAATTTTCATATCAATTTATTTGGGCAAACTTTCTTGCCTTAATATTTTTCACATCACATGAAATCAATATAGAAAGACATATGACAACTAATACAAAATATCCTATATTGACCGATAAACAGCCATCATTAAGTTCTCCAGGTCATTGTAAATTAGAAAAATTATTTCTGGTCGCTAGACATGGAACAAGATATCCTGAAGAGCCTGATATCAATAAGTTTGAAGTATTAGAAAAGATCTTTCAAAATGTTTCATCGAAACCTAAGGTAATAAAATAAGCAAAGAAAGAACGAAAAATCATTAAGGCTAATTTTTATTTTTAAATTTTATTTTGTTAAAAATGATGCAGTGGAAAAATCAATTTTCATTGTTACAAGATTCGTTGTTGAGCACCCATGGACAAAAAGAACATTACTTATTGGGTAAACGTGCTTTTAAAAAATATCATAAATTCTGGAAAACCATTCTTCCTTATGATCCCTATACTATCAAATTTAGAAGTTCGGAAACTCCAAGGTTTGTCGATTCCTGCTATTTTATTTTATTTTATTTTATTTTGGTTATATAAGTTTGATATCATTTAATTACTTAAGAACCGGAATGTCGGGAATTTCATATTCTATCGGATTATTCGATGAAAAAGGAATCTTAGGTAAAGGAGATTATCAACCAGTTTATTTATATACCATTCCCGTGGTAAGTTTTTAATAAATATCATCCCCCATACAAAACAAAAAGCGACAATTAAGATTTCTTTTCTTTCAATTGTGTAAAGTTACAAGATTATGAATTAGCAATCCATAGATCGTGCCCACGTTGGCAATTAACGGTACAGAAAAACAACAAAGAACTTGAAAAACAAATTTCTCTTTTTACTTCAAATTTAACAAAAATTTCAAATCGTATCTCCAAAAAATATAATATTGATAATCAATTACTTGAACCAATTCATGCCAATTATATTTATTTAGCATGCGCATACGATATTATATTTTTTAACAAACATAAACATTGGTGTGAATTACTACAACAGGAAGAAATTTTAATTTTAGAATATTTTAATGATATGAAATATTATTATGAGTTTGCTTACGGAAATGATCTAAATAAACGATTAGCTTGTAAATTAGTTAGTGAAATCGTAAAAAGTGTGGATGATTATTTGAATGGAGATTCAATTGTCAAAGCAGATTTAAAGTTTACTCATAGCGAAACCATTATGTTCTTATACACATTCTTGGTAAGTAATTCATGAAATAAAGCAAAAAAAAAAAAGGCTCTAACATCTTTTTTCCGGTAGGGATTATATGAAGATTCCAAGCCTTTAACAGGAGATGCAAATTTTGATGAAATTTCTAATCGGAAATTCAAAACTTCAGAAATTTGTCCATTCTCCGCCAACATTTATTTTGAAATTTATACTTGTACTTCCGATAAGTATACCTTCTTTGCCAAGAAAAAACATGAGGAATCTACTGTAGTTCAAGTAGTTGTAAATGAGAAACCGGTTGTCATTCCTGGTTGTGACTCGAAATTTTGTGAATGGAGTAAATTTAAAGAATTATTTAGCGATAATTTAGGTTGTGATTTTGAAAACATTTGTAATATCGACATGAATTAGTGGTGTGAAAATTTATTTCTGGGTAATTAATAAATATATATATATGTGACCTATTAATTATCCATGTTAAAGATTTTAGGATATTAATGATTATTAAAATGGTCTAAACTGATTAAACCGTTAATCCATTATAAATTTGCAAGAACAAAGTAATACATTCAGTATAATTAAATGTCCGTTTTTTATGAAAATTAAAGAATCTTGAATTTCGGTCTATTTTTAGTATTTAAAGAATCTAATATTAATATCATTTATTACATTTTTTCAACTTGGAATGCGCCAAGCAAAAGAAATTTGCTGGGTCTATTTTAAACCCAGGAGATCGTAGAAAATTTATATATAAATAAATTTGTTGTCGCAGACTTTGTAAATAACCCTTTCTTCGTCCTTATCAACATCAATCAGATTCTATTCGCCAAAAGTATTCCAGTTAAAATGATTAATGACCAAAGACATGCTTTCAAAGAAGTTCAACTCTTCTGGTCTCATCAGATTATTTATTGCGTATACATATCATGTATCTTGTTTAAATTATCAGAGTATTAATGCAAAATATTTTAATATGAAATCATATTTATTTTAACGATCTGATCAATTTGAAATCGTCGATAATAACCATAATATAATCTATAAAATCCCCCAAAAATTATCTTTACCAAATCTCTAATCTAGTTTAAACTTTACAAATTTCTTTAAAATTACAATTTAATTTATCACCTATTAATTCTTTAAATTTATTCCATTCACAGTATTTTGAACCACATCCTGGTATAGTAACAGATTTTTCATTAACTAACGTATGAATAAAAGCAGAGGTATGTCCGCATATTTCAACGCATGTATAAATTTCAAAATACACATTTGATGAAAAGTAAAATAGAACTGAAGTTCTAAATTTTCTTTTAAACATATGTTCAGGAAGTGAATTAACTGTCAATGGAACTGCATCTTCATACAATCCCTAGTAAATTTATAAAAAAAAAATTATTATTAGATTTCGCTTAAAATTTTGGTTAAAAAGTAAAAACTTTTTTAAAATTTTTTTTTTTTTTGAATAAATATATATTAACTTACCAAGATTGTTGTTAAGAATTGAAGAGATTCAGCATGAGCAAATTTCAAATCAGCTTTTAAAGTAGAATTACCCACTAAGTACTTATCAATATTACTAATGATATTACTTACTAGTCTACAACCTAATTTTTCATTCAATTCATTACCATAAGAGAATAAATAATAATCTAACAAGTCACCATAATATTCTATCTCTAATATTTCATTTTGGTTAAATAACGAACACCAAGTTCTTGTTTCATCATAAAATGCTACAGCAAAAGCACATGCCTTATATATGGCTTCAGCTTGTTTAGGTGAAAGTTCTGGTGTAATATGATATGATTCTGATATACGATTAGCGATTTTGGATAAATATTTGGCGTTAAATTCGGCTTTTTCATTTTCAAGAACAACGTTGTTTTTTTCAATTGTTTCCAACCATCGTGGACATACATTATGCATCAATAATTCTTCGTCTTGGGTCTATTTATAATTTCAAAAATATTATTATTCAGAAACAAAACATCATCTAAAATTTCCAAATTTACACGGGGTGCGGTGTATGAAACACTGATCATATAACACATGAAAGTTATAAGAATATTAGGGTTAGGCAAAGGGTTAGCAAGGGGTTAGAGTAGGTAAGTCGGTGTTTCAGTAATCTGGACCGAGAAAATTTTTTATACTAAAATGTTATTTGTCACCCCTTGCTTAACATTGTGTCATACACCCGTGAACAAACAGAAATTGCCTTTAAAAACAAAATATTTTTTTACTTACCCTTGGAGTAGATGAAATATAAACAGATTGAGATTCATCTTTTCCTAAAATGCCTTCTCCATTTAATAAACCAAGAGAATAAGCAAACCCAGACATACTAGTTCTTTTAAAATAATAATAATTATTATTAATATTATACTTTAACTTTAAATCTAATAAATATTATTTTATCACTCACCTAGCTACAGATGTACTTTGAAATGAAATAACATTTGGGTCGTAAGGTAAATTTTTATTCCAAAACTTATGATAACGTTTGCGTGACCTTTTCCCCATCATATAGAGTTCCTTTTCACCTCTTTTACTTAAAAATCCTTGTTTCTCTAACGGGAATGGATTTTTATACTAAAAAAAGAAATGTCCGTTAATTTTTTGTGATGCTTAAAAATGAAATCAAAGTACGATTTATTTACCCATTTTTTTGCGTATGAAACATTTTGAAAGATTTTTTCTAATTCATTAAAAAGGGTAATATCATTATCAGTAGGATACCGAGTGCCTAAACAATGTACACAAAAAAAAGGTACATTAAAATTAAGTTAAATGGTTTAACCATACAAAAAAGACTGTAAAAAAGAAAAGGTTATTATTACCATGCCTAGAAATAAGAAATAATTGTTGTAATTCACACGTATGATGTATTTTAACTGGTTTTGCTTTATCGGTAAATAAAAGCGGTAATGTCTTCGTTCCCATATGTTTCTTTATATTGAAACATTCTGAATGTTGTATATATACAAAAAGAGTTAAACACCAAAAAAAGGTTTTTATGAAAAGGTTCATTTTATAGAGAACGAAGATGAAATTCTAGAAACCATTCATTCTCCTTTATATTTGTTTTACCCATCTGATCGTCAATCTATAACTTCTAACAAACAATAAACCGGATTCAGTAATTTCAATCAAAAAAGCGCCAATACGCGTTAATAAATTTACATTTAATAATAAAAACGCGAAATTAAGAACTAGGTTAAATGAATTGTTTTTCTTAGGTATATATTTTTTTTTTGAATTCAATCTTTTCAATTATCATAATGCATATTTTATAAAGATAAAATTTGCTAAAAAAAAAGTTAGCAATCTTAAAAATTATATAAGAAACGATATAACACTTTTAAAACAAAATATAATGTCACATTACCAGATATGGAATATTTTATATATATATATATTTGACTAATTTTACTAATTTACTAAATTTTTTTTTTAATATATCAAAATGTTTTAATTGAAATTTAAAATTTTATATTTTTAAGAATAAATTTTAGTAAAATCAAATATGTAATTTTGACTAATTATCCTTTTTTTCTTAGAATTATGTTAAGGTTTTTTCTTAAAAAATTATTATTTTTATTAAATAATATTTTATTAATTTAGAATATAAATATAAAGAAATTTTCTTATCATTAGCTAAAATGTAAATGATTGACTTACATATAAAGTTAATCTGCTTTTATTTTTTTAAAAAATAAGCTAATAATTTTAAAATATGAAAGACAATCAGTAGAAGAGGAAAATTTCAAATTTTAACCAAAATTTATATTAGAAATATTGCTAATAAAATAATAAAATATAGTAAATTATATGATAAATAATGTGATTTTATTAGCAATACTTTTATATATATAAAATTAGCTTAATAATTAAAATTAGCAAAAATTTTGAATTTTATCTTTTTCTACTAATAATTATTTTCCATATGGGAGATGATCAGTAGAAAAGGAGAAATTTTAAATTTTGGTTAAAATTTATATTATTAAACCACTTGGTTAATCTTGATTATATGCACAAATTTGGCTTAATAATAAAAATTAATAAAAATTTTGAATTTCCCCCTTTTCTACTGATCGCCTCCTATAAGCTGATGAAAAAATAATTTTAAAATATGTTTAATTAGTAGAGAATAATCTTTATGACTATTTTTACTTACAATATACTTATAATTATACTATTACTTATATATGAGTATACTGTTAATTACTTATAAGTATATTGTTATTTACTTACTGTTTTAATATATTATAAATTTTTTATGATTATATATTTATTTATATATTTTTAATTTTTTGTAATCTTTTTATAATCAAATTATTATTTATCTATTTTCAGTACTTTGTAATTTTTTTGTTATTAAATAATTGCTTATATATTTATATTACTCTATGGCCTTTTTATAATCAAAAATAAATGACTTAGTTTTTCTGAATTTATATAAAAAAAATATGTTATCAATATTACTGTTTTTTGAGTTCTATATATTTTCTCATTACTTTCTCATCAATTTTTTATTACTTTTAAGTATTAGTCTAAATGTTTTATTGGTTAAAAAATTAAAAAATCAATATGTATAATCATATTTAACTTATTTGATTGTTAGGTTAAAGCATAAAATACTAAAGTTATAATTAAGATTGCTTGTTTAAATGCATTTTAGATTTAGTTAAATATTTAAATATTTAGTTTTGCTAAATTTTTACTAAATATTTGATATAGTTTTATCTTTTTCTAAATTTTGTAGATTTTTAATAAGTTTTAATATTATTTAACCAAGTTTTACCTTTACCATTTAAACATTTGGTTAAAGTCCAGATTTTATAGTTACAATTCATATTTATTTTTTTATTTTATTATTAGAATGAAACATAATATATTATTTTTGCAATTCTACCTTTTATAATCTTTTTGATTATTAAGAATATAATATAAATTAGTAATAGCAAGTGATTTAAATAACTTAAATAACTAAATAATAAATTACTAGTATTTTGCAGATTATTTAAAGTCAAATAATAAATAATATAATAATTTAAAGAAATTACAGTCATACCTCTCTATAGCGAATTTTTATATAACGAATTTTTTGGACAACTATATTAAATTTACCCTCGTT